GTAACAGTTAAGGCCAGTGGTTTTCTACATAATTTTATACTTCGTTACGTCTGCTCATATTTACCAATAATCAGTTGTTCGTTCWTCCTTCTATGCAATAATATTGCCTTTTAGACAGTAATTTTCAAAATTAGTTTTACTTCTTGTATTATATTGCTGATAAATYATAATTATTCAAATTAAATTTTTTATGTTCAGACTGTTGAATGGAAAATAAATTATCTGTTTGATAATAATTCGATTTTTATTAATTTCTATTCTCATAATTTTCTCACTTATATTAATCCCCACTCCATTCAAGAACCACTGGTGTATTATAAATTATAATATATACCTTACCATGGCATATACATTATATAGCATTTAAATATATTGTGTTTTAACGAGCTAATGATGATCAATCGATTAAATAAAATCGGGACAACAACTAAGGTATGCCTAATTCAGTTTTATTATATTATGTTGKTGAAAATAATAAAAAATATATGAATTTAATTAAATCAATCATAAATATAGAATATATTATTATTATTCATAGATAAGCATTAGTATTCAACGTACCGAGTTTTGTTTGATTGGTAACAATAATGAAAATGGYGTTAATCGGTGATTTGTGAGATTTGTGGTTAATCTTGAATATTATCTTCTTTTAGAAAAAATACCAATACCATCTAAATAATATTGTTTTCAAAGCGCACTATATTATAATTGAAATTATTTCAAACATATCTACAAGGTAAATAATTTAATTATACTACATYGATTTAAATGCCAGTAACCATACTTGTGTACCTACTGGGCACTGGCAATTGTTTGCTAAAACCTTATCTAAATCGGATTGCATTATATTGAACCGTCATTATGTTATATTATGTATAGCTGTAATTTCAGAGTATAATTTTATAGGTCGTCTGTGAAAAGTAAATAATTACAAAGTTGAATAACACACCCGATATCGCGTTGTTGAGTAATATAAACATAAGCCTGAGATAAATTACCTCGTGGCAGAGCGCCGGAAGTATAACTTCAAACCGACTAGTAATATTTCCGACGCTGATTTGTATACGCCCGYGCCGAGCGAGAATTGAAACCACGACAGCAGCTATAGGGTTCACTCGAGACTATAATAATAACCTAAGTACACGCCGTAGGAAATGGAGATTAGTCGGCGCGAAAGTCGGAAATCGGTCCGTCCTCGAGCCCCGTCGATTAGGATGACCGTTCAATTTAACTTTAATCAGACGATTTGAGAATATACCTATGTGACAAAACTTTTAGTCGACGTAGATCTAAATTTTCGAGACTATTGGCCTACGATTTTTCAATCCGATAAACGACTCGTCGAACGTCTTAATAACGTCGTTGAATTTATGATATCGTCGTCGTCGATGAGATTTAATAGAATGTTGATGACGGCTTGATGATCCGATTGAAGAAATTATTCAAAGCATATAATAATATTATAGATAAATATAATAGTAAAAAAAATAATTTAATCAAGCAACAAATGAATAATCATCACATTAACTTGGATACCGGGATACAGCAGCGATATTGATAAGATAATGACAAAGCAAACCACCAAGAAGCAAAATGAGCATTATAATTCTTGATAATATAGTTCGTTCTGACTACACATCTAATGTATAGACATAACAAATAAAATTCAATAAATTATTAAAATCTAATTACAAAAAAAAATGTCATCAAAATAAATCCAAACTAAGGAAAACCAAGAACCTTGAATTAAACAGAAAAGAAAAAAACAATACTTAATAGACATGAAAAATAGGACACTTCACAATACACGCGGTATTCCTACGAAAAAGGGTGATCAACGTGTGAAACTTGTAGAGTGAAAATAAACGGTCAAWCAAATACAAATATAGAGAAGAAATTAACTTGAAGAATGCAATATATCCAACACGTTGACGCATCGCTTGGAGTAACGCCTGAAAACAACTTAAACTTATTATCATTATTCTTAAAGAAAAATCGTACAATATAATTTGATTGAGAAAAAAAATTAAATGCCTTTGCAGCCAACGTTTATTTTATATAAATATAACAAAAGAATTTTATATTATATTATCTACAAATCAAGTTAAGTATGAAAAAAAAAAACGTCACACTGAACTACGAAAATCATATATTATATGATGTCCACTGTGTGCGTGCTATATTAATGTGAATATATAGGCATGGAGACTTTTCGAAACCCAAGTAAACTATATATTGTGTACCAGTGATTTCTCGAAAAWTCTCGGTATAACTAGTATTGTTTTCAGAGAGGATTTAAGTAAGTCTTGTGGTCGCTATTATATTTATATATGATTGGATTTTTTTTTCTTACATATTCTCAAAAACCCATGGGGATAAGTATTTATACAACTTATCTCGACGACTCGTGTGTACGAGGAATATGCGCGTGCGGCTGCAATGCATAAGCTCGACGAGCAGTGACGTCCCAATTAAACGGAGATTTATGTTCTCTGAACCTTTACTACTCTGCGCACATGTTATATTTTTATTGCATCTGAATCGACCACGCCAGCGTACACACGAACACTGTGAACACAACATTTTAACAGCCCACGGGTGCCCAATGGATTTTTCGGGGCGGGAGGGAGGTTAGGGGTTATATCCACCTTCATTGTCTTTTTTTTCCGACCTACAGTAAACAACTTATTGGTTATAAGAGCTGTTTTAGAGTGATTATTTAATACTTTTCTTAGTAATTGTAAAATGTATTACTACAACATCCTCTAATATTGAAAATTTCTGGGCACAACACTTCGGGTGTCTCAGTAGTTTAATATACTATTCTAAATATTATATTGGAATACAGCGAAACACATTACTGAGCCGACAAACGGGATTTACGTCGGAAAATTCAAATAACACTTTTGCAGTTGTATAGGTAGTCAGTCATCTCGCTGTCAATCACACTGTATTATAATTATTATACAATATTTCGATTTAGCCCGAATTGAATTAAGCCTTCTGTCGCTTTTGTTCCAATGACGATCAAAGGATTCGTTGGATTCGTCAGCCCATCAAATATATTTCCGTTCATGGTGTAAAGTTAACATTAAATAAATATGTTTTAGAAAATAACATATTGTTCTCCCGAGTATGTCGTGACAATTTCCTCGCAGCAGTCGGTGTACATAATATAACCGTTATAATCATTATACTATTATATAACATTCGCGCTGTATGCACTGTACTCGTACAACACGACCATGTGCACAGCGTTACACCGGTGTATTAAATTTAATCGTTGCACGAAATCATTATTGTAAATCCCAGAAACTCAAAACCAATCATGAATTATTATGGTTTTAGGCCATGAGCGCTAATTCCGATATGATGTACACACACGCAGCGGACTCCGCGACAACAATACCACCGCCGCTGTTAATTCACTATAACGATCCCGTTGAATTACGTAACCGCAAATTAAATTCTGCAAATACTGAAACAACGTGGTGGCGTTGCTGTTTCTTGATATCCATTGAATAACAGTCGCGGAAAAGCGGGTAGGTTCTTACTGCGRCGGCTACGGCGCCATTAAAATCGGTTTAAAGACAAGTAATGACCGATTTAATCGCTTATAAAATAATATATTTTAATCGCACCTCGATCTCGATGTACGTATGTCGGTCAGTGGTCAATGGTCCGTTAAATCCCTTGCACTGCGACATGCATGTGGTTAGGATGATGTGGTCGAGTCGCAATCGCCCGTTATAATAATATGGACGTTTGAACAATAATAATAACCTCTCACATTAATTGCTACTGTAAATTCGTTCACTATAATGATAGTAAAAAATGCCGCATCGTATTAAGTCACACTCGTGTATTTTAGTTTTTAACTAATCATAACCAGATAGCTGATTACTACGCGATCGTGATCGTTTATAACGGAAAAATGCTCGTGCGACACCAGTGTAGCGAAATCGCCTATCTGAGACGCCGTGTCAACATATTGTAATTTACATAATATTATTGATATTATGTGCTAAAAATGTATAATATATATTATCTTGTTTACAAGTAATGTGCGTTGGATATGTCCAAGAAGTAGGTTATTGTCAAAAAATTAAGTTTTTTATTATATAAGACACAGTAATCAATTGTTATTTTCCGTGCACGTGCTTTTTTAAAGTTTTAATTAATTGTATAAATATTAAATTTCTAAATAAAGTTTTTTTTACGCAAAAGAAATAAACTTCGTAATTTTTTAATCTAAAAAGTTGTTTGTGATTTTAAAGATTTGAATAATTTCATAACAAACATTGTAATATTTTTTTTCATCCGTATTTTTTTATAATATAATTAAATATAATWTTATGTACTCTTGATTGTTTGTATATATTTAAAATAAATTAAAAGTGCAGTTTATCTGGATAAAAATAAATAAACCATAGGCTTTGAATTGAAGTTACTAATTAAAACATCGTACACGTCGCTGGCATTAAACTTTTTCAATACATTATAGTAAATTAATCAAATTCATCTGGTTCGTTTGTTTCATTATGTATTTTATATACGCCCGCGATTAATCGGAATCGAAGGCTTAAAGTATTATGTTCTGTGTAAAGTAATTAAAAAAAAAACAAAATAAAAATAAATTGATTATCAGCCACCTCTCACATATTCATTAACAATATATCTGTAACGGTAGTTTGAAACAATTATAGTCACCGTCGGTAATTTAAGGATTTGCGAATTATAGCTTCCAAATTTTTTTGAGACCACGCTGCAGCGTTGGTAACCGCATAAATAATAATTTGTATAATAATAAGACTCATCATGGTTAACTTGATTTTATTTACGTCGGATAGAAATATAGTAGTAATAATAATAATTGTGTGTATGTAATATTATAATATTCCTTGACGTCTCCGCTCGAGCGTTATGTTAATAATATATTTATTTTTGCTGAAAAATTTACGAGAAAGCCTATTTATATTTTTCATTTTTGTGTTTTTCAGGGGCAGTGGGCGATGGCGGCGAATCGGCTGAGGACAAAGAGAAAAACGCAGAAGCAGAGAGGGAACGATTGGAGGCGATTCGGGAGGCCGAGGAGAGACGCAAAGAGAAACACCGCAAAATGGAAGAAGAACGGGAGAAAATGAGACAAGAAATCCGAGATAAGGTAAAATAATGATGTTAAACCATCCATGTATATATATTTATATTAGGTCGGGCGGGTTACGGGGAACCTGAGAGTGATATTGCAATAAAATTATTTTTTGACCTATAATAACGGTAGCCTGCAGGTTGAACAAAACACGAAATATTTGACAGCATAGTTAGGTTTTTTCCATTTTTTTTTTTTTTTGTCTTCCGCCTTAACATTCAGATAATTCTATAATAATAATAATAATAATAATATCAACGACTACGATGATGATGACAATTACCGAAACAACGCGAAATCTCAGTTAAGATACGAACAACGCACATGTTCACACACACATGCTTGATTATCTCTGAAAATGCGATGACCATATATAATCATATAAATAAAATTCCGTTTAAATTGTTCATTTCGCAATAGTATGATATTCTGCCATCCTAAAATAATTATAGTAGAATTCTCTTAACCAACATTTCAAAGGTGACGGGTGTTGCTGTGCTCAATGTCTTGAAATTCGTTTGGGAAATTCACGTCACTCAAACTGCTAATCATGATACTAACACGTTTAAATAAATCGATATTGTATAGTTCATGACGTACACTATAAAGTATAGTAAGTAATTACGTAGATAAAAAATCATAAAAAATATCACTTCACCTAGGTATAATAATATTATTGTCGTGTTGGATATGGTGTTCTAATCTGACCATAAGTCTAAACATAATAATACATCCGGTTGATCTTTTCGTTTCAAATACATAGTCCGCACAGAAAACAATAAACGATTGTGCGTAAACTTCCTAAATAATGTAGGTACGTGACTTAACACAAAAAAAACTTTCCACTTTCCACCACTCAATATCATATATCGCCAGAGTTGAATTCATCCGATTTCAAATGCTGCTTGTATTGTATCATAACCTATCAAAAATATTTCTAAGTTGGTTCCTTGGCCACGTCACGAACAACATAATATAGTTGAAACTATTAATGAAATTATTCATTCAGTGCATATCCGTATTGTAATTGTATCCGCTAAATGTCCCGTTAGCTCCTATATGGTAGATAATAATGGTAGTTCGTACACATATGTAATATTTATTATATACTCAAAATAATTCATCAAGTGGCATAATATCAGATGACCTACAAAGTCAGGTGTAAAGTATTGGATGATTATTTTCAAAAAACCCTTACATACGTATAGTATATATCCTATGTTAGGCCATGTTCTTTAATATTCAATAAAAAGTTTGTCATAAAACGACATTACGTGTGTAATAATAAAATCTTTTTGTTAAGACACATTTTACGATTCTATATCAAGATCATCACGATTATTTGAACATTATAACAAATATAAATCGTTACGATTTTAATTTCAACATCGAGTTTGACGAACACATTTTGTTGGTTATCTAGAAGTTTCATTAATCTTTTTAATTCCTATCTCACCTATAATAATCGCCGGTCGGGTTGAAACAAAAACTCGTTTTACATACTTGTTTTTTAAGCTATTCGTTTTCCATTCGAATTTATCTCTGAAAACAAAAAACAGATTTGACATCTCTTCGCGGTTCTTATACGTACTTATATTATAAATATAATATATTATTTAAACTTTTTTTTTTATCGTTTGGTGATTTAGAGGTTTGGGTTTTGGGAGAGGGGAAAAACTAATTATAATCCACAGCGAGCTTTTATTGTCCTGGCGATTTGAATTACTTGGTTTTATCTTTATACCATTCTGACGCACCAATTACATTATACTTATACTTTTATGTATATGCTGCACATTGTACGTTATATAATAATATACGACGAAACTATTACTCTCCAAAGTTTTAATTGCGTTTGTCGTGCATTAGAGTTCACTGATTGTCGCATCACATTTCGAAATTTTTACGACCGTCACTGTTACCAGAGTATTTAATACTCATAATGTCTGTACGTAAGATAATAAAACTATTGTTATAATTAGGGCAAGGAATTGTATGCCAAAAACATTTTCAACTATAACACGCCCATATTCACGCATACAATACGTGAAATAAATGCAAAAAACATAGCAGAATATTCATTCATTATTATTACGATGATGAATGGAATTTTAAAAGTACTCTGTCAAAATACAAAATAGTGGTCAAAAGAAAAAATAAATTATATTTTTAATTTTTGAAGACATCGCGGTTGCATTATGAATAGATAATCGAATAATAATTTATTTCAATAGATTTTTGTTTTACAATTATGCGTCTATGGATTCAACAATCATATTTTAATTGATCGCAACAGTATCGCATAATTATTTCATCATGTAAGAAACTATAAATTCAATATTAACTAATATTATTATTTACGCCTAAACAAAATAAAATCAATTATTATTATAGCTTCTAAATCAGTATCCGATCAATATCATATTGTAAAATGGACATATTATATTAAGATTTTCTAACAAAAAACTTCTTTAGCGGTGACGGAGAAAAGCTTTGTAATACTCGAATTTTGAAAAAAAATTCTCAATCTGTTTACAGTACATTTTGTAATTGCATGCATTGCATTAAAATACACTCAATCGATTGTGTAAAGAAAATATATGCTCTGGTTATATTTTTAGTTTTAGTTTTGTATTATTTAGGTGACGTATTGATTAAAAACAATTTTATTCTATGTTAAATGTGAACACAAAATAGCGTTTCCATTTGAAATTGTACCACTTATTTTTAATACTTACATAATCTGAGTACGAGATCTGTTTCGTATAACCATTTTTACTTTTAGACGTAGAATTAACTTATAATAGTTTGTGTCTAATTAGTAATTATATTTGGAAGTTTTATTTTGCAAAAAGAGAATTCTGATTCTTCTTTACCTTCTCGCGGTGCAATGATAAAATTATAAGATATCATATTCGAAATATGTTGCAGTAATAATACTCCGCAGCAGTGGTGTGAATTAAACTGTTATAATAACGATAACGAAAATGATAATAATATTATTTCGTCTCGGAAATGAGTGTCGCGGCTGCTCGAAATCGCCACATTACGTTGCTTCTTGGAATTATTGTGTGACCATGGTGGATGATAATGCTGTTTATTCTACAGCCGTGCTGGCTATCGGCCTTGTTTTCAGCAATAATAGGAGTACTTCACCGCTCGAAAGGACACTTTTTCTCCTCTTATATAGGTATATATTTTTTTAATTTTGTTTAACTGCGCCAGCCACTTTCATTCTCTTAACAATATGATGTCGTGGAATTCAAAAGTGGTTCTATGATCGTCGTTCTTACCATAATAATATTATTATTCTCCGCGTCTATAGTTACGAAATCATCGAGAATCACGGYATGATGACGAACCTGCGCATTAGGTTGCAGGTGTATAGAATTAGATTTTATATCTTATATATTTTTCATAATAAGAAACAGCTGTGAAATATAAGTGGGTATGAATTTTTAAACTAAATTTATAATATTTATTCCAAGTATTATGTAATATTCTTTGAACTAAAATTCGAAATAACAAATCGGTTGCAAGCGTGATCATATAATAACCGAACGATTCATGTCTCTATATTTTAATTTAAACTAATTTTTACAGAAATTGAAACGATTTGTTAAAATATTAATAACTTTCTTTGTGCATTTTGCTAATGTAAATTAGTTCGCAAAACTTTTTTCGCAAAATATGTTAGTTAATACATTATAATTTTTTCATAAATCGTACAACGACGTTCTATTTTAATTTTAATTTCAGTACTTAATTGATTTTTGCTAAACTGTATTTTTTAATGATTATTTTCTTCTTTTGAGTTGATAAATATAATATTATAATTAAAGTTAATTAATGTAATATTTTTAATTATATTACAGTTACTCATAGTGAATTATAGTTTTAATAAACTGTATACATAGCAAAACCGTTACTAATTTGTTGTGATTTGTTCTCAAGTTAAGCTTCATTATGTTGTATTTTTCCATCATGATGTTTCTATTTTCTTTTTGTATTAACTAAAGTTAATATTAACACCCGACATTTTATTACAGTTGCCATAGAAAATATCAGGTTACTCATAATTATCTTGTTTGACATGATGTAAAAAGTATTTATACTAAATTAATGGATTTTTATACTTGATATCTCGTTCAACGAAAGTATAATAATATTGTTATATTATACGTGTTCTTAAAATTTTAACACTGGATAAATTTCCCTCAGTATAACAAAATAAAATGCATTATTGTATGACCTTATCAGTGATGAGAATTCTGGAATGAAAATAACTTATCTAAATAAATATCAACTTTACTACTTAGCATAATAGTGCAGATATGTTTATCTTAATAATTATAGTGTTTGGAACGAGCATAGAAATCATTTAAAAGTTACAGTATTTTTGGAAAGCATACATTTATAATATTATTGTACTCTATGTATACTATTATTTTGTACATTATTATTGGACGTGGATTTGTCTTTAGAGTTTTAAACTAAAAATAACAATGCCAAGAGACCTTATGAATTCAAACTATTGCGACTATTGTAATTATTCGCAGAACTCTAACATAATATTATCAACCTATCCTCATAACTGTCTGGCACCTATATGGTTTCGATGGCCACTAATCAGATAAGTTTTGAGTTCGCTAACCCTCACACTACAGTGGACGTTCACACCACACAAATTACCATGGGTTTAAGTTATAACGTCTGAATATGAGCCGTGTATAACTGACGGTTAGTAATTGTTTATTAACTAGGTAACCGAAAAGGTGACAAACGTTTATTATTTTAAAAATTCTCCAAGTTAAAAAAAGTGTAGGTACTGCTGAATTTTCGAAAACAATCTTTTCGATGAAATATGTGTATACAAATTGTTTAGTAGGTGTATGATATTGTAGCTGGAGGGATGTGGTATTCTCAGAGTAACGCGATGACGGTGATAAAGTCTTATTCGTCAAATGTGGTTTTGACAAGTGTTGCTTAACTTACGACTACATATTATTATATAT